TTATGCACTTACTTGGAAAGATCTCCAGGATATTTTGTTAAGATAAAAAAAAAATCAAGATACAGAAAAAATGTGTGGAAAATGCCTTTTTTATGTAAGAAAACCAAGTTCAGTTATTTTATAGAGTTTTTTTTAAAAAGTCTCGGGAGTTGAGCTGTGGAATATGTGTCAGCTTGTCTCTATACAATATATGTGTAACAACCTGGGGGCAGGCTGCTGGCATCTAGTGGGCAGAGGCCAGGGGAGCTGCTAAACATCATCCAATGCACAGGACGGCCCCCACAAAAAAGAACGATCTGGCCCAAAATAACAGTAGTTCTGGGGTTGAGAAATCCTGCGTTAGCACTTCCATCTTAGTTAGGCCAGGTCAGTACCATTTTCCTCATCAGGATGTTACTGTCATGATAATATTGGTATCATATTGGCAATAAACACAAACGTAAAATATTTATACATGTTAGGATAAAGTCAATATTAATTATATCAACGTTGTTAAGAACTAAGATTTTCGCAATTAGAGAAAAGATACAAATATAAAATCAAATAATTTAAACAAAAACCCCATAATTTTAAATTTGAATGGAAAATACTAAAATGGACTCATTATTTGCCTCTTTTAAAAAACTATGTATGCCCTAGCTCTGATCAATCAAAAGGCCAAAAAGCAATGATAACCCAGTAGCAGGAGTATCCCCAAGTGGCAGACTGTCATCTCTATCATTTCCCATTGAAGGGAGCCAAGGTTTTGTGGATAAATGGCTGCTTCTAGGAGCAGAAGGTACAAGTTGAACCTGGGTCATCTTGTTCAAATGATAAGGAAGCCTGCCCTAGACCACACCTAACAGCAGGGGATGCCAAAGGAATAGAACTCAAATATTGGAGTTTTTTTATTAAATTCGAAGGGTGAAATAAACATTGCAAGGCAATTATCAATCTCTGCTACAGACAAGTGAGTCTCTGAATCTGTACTGTCTAATATGGCAGCCACTGGCCACATGTGGATATTGGGTACTTAAAATATGGTTACTCCAAATTGAGATGTGATATAGGTATAGAATATATGATGGATTTTGAAAATTTAGCATGAAAAAAGAAAGTAAAATATCACAGTGATTTTTATATTGATTACATATTAAAATAATATTTTGAAAATATTGGGTTAAACTGTTATTAAAATTAATTTCACCTGTTTCTTTTTACTTTTCTTTAATGTGGCTACTAGAAAACTTAAAAGCATGCATGTGCTTCACGTTAAATTTCTATTAGACAGCGCTGCTATAGAATAATCAGGCAGAGGGTCTTCTGAAAGGTTCCAGGTTTGGGAAACAGGAGACACACAAGAAGTTTAGCAAGGCAGAAAGAAAGAACAAAAAAAAAAGTTCAGAAAGGAAGGAAGGGTGGGAGGAAGGAAGGGAGAAGTGGGAGGAGGGAAAGAAGAAACTACTAGACACAGAATGGGAGAAAATATTCACGAATCATATATTTGATAGAGGTCTTATATCTAGAATATATAAAAAAGTCTTACAACTCAATAATAAAAAAGACAAACTTTAAAATGGGCAAAGAATTTCAAAAGACATTTCTCCAAAGAAGCTATGCAATTGACCAATAACTACATCAAAAGATGCTTGATATCATCAGTCTCAGAGAAATGCAAATCAAAACAAAATATTACTTCTTATTCATTCAGATGGCTATAATAAAAAAGACAGATAATAACAAGCGTTGGTGAGGTTATGAAGAAATTAGAACCCTCATCCTTTACAAGTGGAAATGTGAAACGGTGCAACCTCTTTGGAAAACACTTTGGCTGTTTCTCAAATGATTAAACATAGAGTTATCGTATGACCCAATAAGTCCACCCATAGGTATAAGAACAGGCAAATCAAGAAGGACATAAAATAGATTAGTGGTAGCCTAGTGCTGGGGTGGGCAAAGGGGAAATGGGGTGATTTCTATGGGTATGACGTTTCTTTTTGGGATAAAGAAAAATGTTCTAAAAATTGATTGTGGTAATGATTGCACAACCCTATAAATATACTTAAAACCATTGAATTATACACTTTAAATGGATGAATTGTGTGGTTTGTGAGTTATATCTCAATAAAGCTTTTTCAAAAAAACACAAAACTAAAGGGGTATATCAAACAAGTTACGTGATTGGAGAGAGAGAGAGAGAGAGAGAGAGAATGAGAGAGAGAGAAGGGAGGGAGGGACAGAGGGGCAGCAATCACCACTGGTAGTTGCTGAGCCATCATCAACCCATGACTCTAAAACTCATAGAGAAAGAGTCCTCCTTTTCCAGTATGAACTATATTTCTGGGCAACCAAATAACCCTACTGGATAAGGAAAAGTTCTATTATAGGGAATAATCCCAGCTACCAATCAGAAGAAATGATAGAATCGCACCCTTAGTGAAATGACAGAATCGCACCCTTAGTGAAATGACCGATTCAGGCAAACACCATCAGTGGATGCTGAAACCAAGGGTGGGAACTGTGCCCCGGAGGAACCAGGCTGACACACCTCAATCCACCAGTCAATCTTGGCATCACCAAAAGTGGGGCTGTAAGACATGACATACCTCTGGATTTAATGCGCTGTGGTGTACACAGCATCACCTAGGAAGTATGTTTGCCAAAAAAATTCTATTGATCCTGAATCTAATGAAACTTTTAGTGCAGAGTAACGACAGGAGTAAGAAGAACAAGCTAACTACTACCGTGGGATACATGAGCCAAATCCAGAGCCGTGGACATTCCACAGGACAAGCTCCCTGGCAAACAAGTCAGTGCCAAGTGGGGGCAAAAGGAGTCAGCCTGTTCTAGACCAAAAGGGACTTACAAGAATGACCAATTCCAAAGTGCAAACCTTGTTTGAATACCCATTCAATGAATTAATTGTAAATAGACATTTTTGCAACGATATGGGAAACCTGAATATAAACAGGAATCACTGTTATTATAATATTAGGGATGATAATAACATCATGGTGATGTATGAAAATGTCCTTATTTTTGTAGATGTATGCTGAAGTATACATGGAAGAAATACCATCATAGGTGGATATGTTTTAAGATATTGCAGCAAAAAAAGCTGGGGGTTGCGGGGGCAGGGATCGGAAATGATGAAATAAATTGGGCAAGATTGTTGTTATTGAAACTGAGAAATAGTAGGTTCATTGTGCTTTTTCCCCTTCTTTAGTATTCGTTTGGAATTTTTCACAATAAAATGTTTTTTAAAATCCTAGCAATGCTCAAGCATATATGAGTTAGAACATACTGGTTCCAAGGTGCTTTGTAATGATACCATCTATGATATTAAAAATCCAAGTTCAAAAGCACATGTGGATTTGCCAGTTGACATGTTGAGAAGCAAATTTTTGGAAAAGCCCTTCTAAATTCATTTAATTTTTGTTTTTTGTTTTTGTCTTTGCCTCTCTGAACCATTTTATTTAGGCTTAGGGAAACTGAGGCAGCACACTGTCTTTCCCAACAAATTCCTAGGTATTCACTGGGAGTGGAGGGCCCTCTATTCTTCTAGAAAATGCATCGGTGTCCCCAGGGCACAGATCTTCCCTCATTCATGCCCAAAGCTTCACAGCTTCACTTCTAGCCAGTCGACCCTCACAGTTACCCCCAGTGGTTATGGTCAACCTTGTTTCAAACAAATGAAGGAAAGGAGATTCCACCCCCAAAGGATTTCACGCACATTTAAATGATGGGTCCCTGTTTGGACTCCCTGCCTTTTTTTTGAGACGGAGTCTCACTCTGTTGCCCTGGGTAGAGTGCAGTGGCAGTGGTGTCATCATAGCTCACTGCAGCCTCCAACTCAGGGGCTCAAACTATCCTCCTGCCTCAGCCTCCCAGAGTGCTAGGATTATAGGCGCGAGCCACTGCTCCTGGCCCTGGACTCCACTTTAACATTAGAGATAGAGATAACTGTAGAGATAGAGATAGAGATAGAGATATCTGTATAGAGATAACTGTATCTTCAAAATGTTAAATGCTGATCACCTGAGCACAGTAGGGAAAGTCTTACAGCTCTCCTCTCCGAGGAGAGATGGAGACAGGGTTAAATTATGAATATATTTAAAATATTAATAACAGGTTACACATGAATATTATGATTTCTTTTCAGTGACTTCTGGTTTGGGATCTCAGATGATCAGCATGCACTACAAAAGAGTTTCTCTTTTCATCTTTGAATGTGGAAAAAGAAACGGGTGAGGTAGGAGTGGGGGGGTCTCATAAGTCCCAGCTGTGCCCTGGGGAGACTGACACACGGTTTGTTGACTTTGGGTGGATTGACCTCTCTTGACGTTAGTCACCCGCTGAGAATAGGAAGAACAGCCTTACCTGCAGCTTGAAAGAAATGATATATGTGAAAATATTCTTAGAACTATAAAGGGATTATAATTGTTTTTTAAATATACTTTCCAAGTAGATATTGTTTTTCCCTAGTCAACGTCTCTTATTTCCCAATTCCACCTCTAGAATTGTTCGTAAACCACTCTGGGATATAGTTTGAATAAGTCTCTGAGAGTAGATTATATTTTCAATTAGAGATTATTTAGCTTCCTATTTACCATGCAACATCAAAGATTTTCCTCCTAACTTGAAAAAAAGTTTAATTTTAATACTGATAAAATCCAAACAGATTATTTCTGTAATACAATATTCTTTGAGTCGTGGAGATTTTAAGCATTTTATAGGTCTATGCCAAAGTCCTTTTTACTTTAAACATACTATATAATTTGGCTTTAAACTCAAAACATCCATTTTAAATATCATTGGTAGCCCTGGCCTGTGTTCTCTCTATTAAGGCAAATCTTTCCTGGTATAGATAGCAAGGATTAGGGACCTGAACAGGAAAGCCTTCAAATTAATCTTCCAGGGCTGGAACCAAACAATAAGGATTGACCTGGAGTGGTCAATATAAAGTTTTTATTTGTACTAAGTGGCTCCTGAAAATGTAATGTTCTCTCTTGATCTCTCACCATGGCAGGTTAGAGGCTGCTAAGACAAACACGAGATCTTCTGAGCGCGCCAGCCCATCCATCTGCACCAGTAACTCTGTCTTCATCCGAAGGCTTCCCTCATGTTCTCCCCTACAGAGAGACAAGGAGATGTGATTCACCCAAGTGGCAGAGCCTTTGTCCTTATGACAAGAGCGGCATTCACAGCAATGACCCAGTGACTGTAGGACAGGTTCCATTCTGATAGCTAATAGAGCCACTCATACTAGAGTTAGAGAAAACAAGCAATTTGGTATTATTTTCACAGAGAGTAATAGAAAGGAAGCGAATGAATATAACAATGGTATTTAAAAGAAAACCAAAGGTTGGCAGTGAACTAGAAGATAAGTGAAGGGTAAACAGTTGCCACTGATAGGTTAAATGCAACCCAGCTGTGTCTACCTGCAGCATTGTTTACCTCTTTAAAAATGGCATAATTGAGAATAATCCCTTTCATTTATATAGCATGCATGAAAGTTTTCACAGGCAGTGTTTCTTTTAAGTATAATTTATAGATCTAAACTGTTCAAGAGAGATGAACTACTAACTGAATCCGTTTCACTGTCTTCTAATAAGAAGCAAGATAATGACATGGAGCCTCCGCTTTCTTTGCACAGCAGACTGGAGGCAATTTTCTGTGCAAATTTGCCTGCCAAGCCCTGCACCACCATTGCCAAAGATCCCATCACCAAGGAAGAGCACACTGTGAGGACCTGAACAATCCGAATTGGGTTTAAACACTGATCACATTCAGCAGACTCTCCTTCCTCTTCATTTGCATAGATCTAGTTAAAAGGACAAAAAATGCCTTTCTTGGACAGCACAACATTCAGTTTCTCATCAGTGATGTGTGTGGTGGCAACCCAAATTAGGTATATGGTTTTTGGGGATCTATGCTCCTTAGTACTCAACTATCTTTTCCTAAGGGAGAAGACACTCTCATAGTATTGTTATATATTTAATTAGTGTTTGCCCATAACTATGATTCTTTTCACATAATATGATCCAAGAGGTCTTCTGAGCACCTACCCTTATACCCCGACCCTTTGAAGACTCTAGTTTTAGAGTCTTCAAGTTCCAAACAAGGAAACCAAAATTCAGGGCAAAACCTGGAACACATTCAAGGATAGTAGATGAAGGGCAGGCACGGTAGCTCACGCCTGTTATCCCAGCACTTTGGGAGGCCGAGGTGGGAGGATTGCTTGAGGCCAGGAGTTCAAGACCAGCCTGGGCAACATATCGAGACCCCATCTTTACAAAAAATTAGCCGAGTGTGGTGACGCATCTCTATAGTCCCAACTATTTGGGAGGCTAAGGTGGGAGAACTGCTTGAGCCCAGGAGTTCAAGGCTGCAGTGGGTTATGATCATGCTGCCACTGCACTCAAGCCTGGCCGACAGAGCAAGACGCCATCTCTACCAGCCAGGGGCTGACAAGCACCAGGTAAGCCACAGAAAGTGTCCCATTTCCATCAACTGCATGAATCCCGTTTTACTTGGGTACATCTTCCTGGTTGTTTTCACTACTGGGAAAATGGTTTCCAATGAATAAACTTTTATAAATTATATTCTAGTTATTCCAATAAGCGAATTATTTGCTTTTTATTACTATTAGTTCTGCCTTGATGCTAGACCATTAAAGGTCATTAATAAATGCAGCTGTGTTGAGATTTCCCAGAGATCTGATTTTTCAAGCCAGGGATGCCACATTGAGTAAAAAGCTTCAAAGAAAAATACCTCTGATCAAGACAGAAAGCCAGTCTTAAAAACAAACAAACAAAACCACTACTTGGCCTTTTGGAAGCACAAACAGAAGGCTTATTACAGTCTAAGAAGTGTTCCTTCCTGCTGGGAACACTGGCTGACACTTAATCTTTAGAGATAACATATGTGACATATTTAAAATCAGACATGTGGAGCCATAATCTGATGTCACAGAGAAGTGGTGGCTTCCCTGGCCTCACACACCATCAAGGACTGCCTCTCGGGAGTGAAATACGGACCTGGCCCTTTGCAGTGGCCGAGTGGGCAAGCCCCATTCCCCACAGGCAACCCTCTGGCTCCAGAGGAGGCGGTCACAGTGGCTATTTTGAGCCAGCAGGACGGCTAGGGCAGCCTGGGATCCTGGGGCTGGATGATCTTCGGGCCTGAAAACCACTCTGTGGGGAAGAGGGAAGGGAGGCTGACATTTCCTCCGGTTATAAAAACTACTTAAATCAGCTATTCAGTTAACAGGATCTAATTTAAAGACCTTTCCGTGTGTCTGCAGAAAATTTGTGGGCTTATTAATAGGCTCGTTCTGCTGGTAAATGTCGATGGGCTTCCGACCATCAGACACACTTACAAGAGGGGAGAAATGATGACCAAAAAAAAAGCCCTGTCTGTTACCCAGGAGCCATGCCTCTCTGGCTCATCACCGACTCCAGCTCGTCCAGGAAGATCGTGGAGGGCGCGTGGTAGCGGGCAAGTTCAAATAACACCTGGTGAGGGAAAAGCAAGCACATGTTCAAATTCACATACTTAAAAGGCCTCAGATGTTCCCAGAGATTAAAAGCACAGAAATGACTATAATAATGAGCATTTATGCTGCACTCTGTTATTTCACAATAACTTTACAATCATTACGATTATTTCTCTCCACCACCACCCCATGGGGTTGGATGGTCCAATTATTTTCATTTATCACTTGATAAAATTAGAGCTGGAGAGGTAGGATGGCGAGTTCAAGATTACTAAGGAGAGCTTAAGATAAAGCTCATTTCCAAAGCTTCCAGTTGGCTAGTTAACCCCTTAGATGCCCTGCCAATAACACGTTCCATATGGACATAAGAGCCTTGGGATATGTAAAATCATTTGATGAATTTTCCCTTAACCTTTGGGGATAATGGGAAGGTTATTTTCAGAAGACAGGATTGCAGGGAAAGGATAGGGTTCCAGTCATGGGTAACAAAGCTGAAGCATTTTGCCCCTTTTTGCTCTCCAAATTACTCCATAGGGCCCACCTCAACACTGCTGCTTGGAAGGCTCAGGTACTCGAAGGCAATTGAAATAAGATGTTCTATTCCAGAATAAAATAAAATATTACAGACTGAACAAGAACAGAAGAGCAACCAGCAAAAGAACAGACATATAAAAACAAAATAAAGAGCTCTAAAGGGAGATGTGGTAGTGATGAAAAGAATATAACAACTTAAACCTTTTTTTTTTTAACCCTGAAACTGATCTCTTGAGCATCATATACATTTCTTCACTGGTTGATGAGAGAAAGCAGTAGAGATTTAGAAAAGAATAGAGATTCTTTAATAGGCATGGGGGATTTATTCTCCATGTCACTTAGCACTAGCAAAGCAACACAGAACAAACAGGAGGGGAAGGGCTCAGAAAAAGGCAGATTGTGGTTTTCACGGGCAGCTCGGCAGGTTATCCCTTACAGCTCTCCCGTCATCGACTGGGAAATTCCTCACCTTCCCCACTGCTCGCCTGTGGGGTTCGTCCAAGCTCATGTGCCAGCACTTTCCTTTCACAGAATCCTGTTTTGCTGGAATAACTGGCTCAGTCTAATGAACTGAGAGAACAATGGGACACTCATCACAAATGCCTCTCAGATACAATAGAGACCACCTAATTAGAAGCAAATAACTTTCCTTCCTTGTGACACAGACACAAAAAGCCCAACTATACTTGATATTAAGGGTTATTCCAACAGTGGCAATCTACCCAATGAAAAATGGAATATTAGAACACTTTATTAGAACCATACATGTTTTTAAGAAGCTCACTAAAGGCAGAGAGACCAAGAACCTCTTCTAGACCAAACATCCAGTGGGAAGGAGAACCACTTCTGGATCTAGGTCTCCATACGGCCCGCTCCATTGCCCTTTCCGCTCCCAGAAAATATATGGAGTCCTGGGTAAGTGCTTCTGGAAGCATTAGTCTAAAATTTTCAGAGGTACTTGGAGGAAGTTAAATCATACAATTTAACTTCCTACGGTGGGGGGGTGTTGAGAGATGTAAGCTTCAACAGGTGTATGCATTTGCTAAAGAGACCACTCAACTACTCAATAGCGATCAACTCCTAAGAGGCACAAACATTAGGAGGGGAGGGAGGAACATAACCCAAGGGTTCCCTATAAATAACTCTTTAATTGGAATAGAAAGAGAAATAAATGGCAGAAAAAGCTTCTCTGATTTAGGGGAAGGTCCTGAAGGGCTTATCTGAAAGCTTCACAGTAAGGAGCCTGACAGCATGACCAAGATTTTCCAGGTGAGGATCTTCCCAAGAGCTCAGAAAAGAAGGAGAAAATAGTTTCTGAAAGGAAATGATATGAAATCCTTCAAGGTTAGCAGAGGTTATCTGTTCCTTCTTAAATTATTTTTTAAATATCCAAAATAAAAATGCATTTCACAGAAAAAAGAAATACAAATATTTTCTAAACCTATAAAAACATGCTCAAGTTCATTTATAATCAAAGAAATACACATTTGAGCACTGAAATATTGAAATGCACATTTAATCCCTGAAGTGTTCTATTGCTTTTAACTATCAGATTGGCAAAGATTTTTAAAATATCTTTTTTTTGTTGTTGGTGCTACATGGTATTGGCCAGGGTATGGAGAAGCAAACACATTCATAAACCACTGATGGGTCTATAAGCTGATACAGCCCTGTTGGCTATCCCTTTGGCAATCAGTGATGTCCATTCCCTCTTTCCCAGCAACTCTGCTTCACAGAAATTGTCCTACACTACCACGTATCTATAGAAGACTGCCCGCTCAAGCTTTGTTCATAATAGCAAGAGACTGGAAACAACCTTACTGCCCATTAAGAAAAGACTGGTTAAATACATTTTCATACATCTGCGCAATGAACTACCACATAAACATATAAAAGAACATGTTTTGTCTATCTATTGTGGAACAATATCCAAGTTACGTTGTTAAGTGGGGGAAAAAAGCAAGGTACAGAAAGGGACATATAGTATGTTCCTACTTGTACTTAAAAAGGAAAGGAGATATAGAAATAGTTGCTGATGTTCATGTTGATATAGATAAATGTTCTGGAAGGCTACACCAGCAACTGATAAAAGTAGTTGCCTACTATGGGGAGAGGGCTCAGGAGTCTGTA